TGAGCCACAGTGCCACTTCTGGTTTTTTCTTTTTGCTTATGTGGTGCTGAGGAATCGAACCCAGGGCCTCAGGCATGCAAGGCAAGTGCTCTACCACTGAGCCAACTTCCCAGCCCACTATCTGGGATTCTTGATGTATGCTACCATACCCAGCTCAATAAAAGTTTTTCTGTCCAAAATGATATAAAAACAGTAGTATTTTTATTTTGAAAAGCTTTATGCTTTTTCTGCCTTTTCTCTTCATTTTTTATGGTTTTCATTAAAATACCACTTTTTAGTCATCATGTAAAAAAATTTTTTAAAGAGACAGGTTCTCATTTATATTGCCAAGGTTGGCCCCACATAGCTCAGAATGTGGGCAGATACAACTGTGCCCATGCTGAAAAGGCAATTCAGACTTTCCCAGGCTGGTTAGCTGAAGCATGCCTTACCAAGCATGCTTACTGCCCCAGACTTAAAAAGAAAACTGCTCATTTTATGCAGGTAAGAATTACTCATTTGTCTTGGGAAACTTGAGTTTATAATTATTAAAAGTAGTTTTTAACATTACTTTATTGTTTAAAGATTCTAAGAGACATGTAACCTACATTTTAGAATTACTTTTAAAAGTATAGGAAGCTTTTAAGAAAAATTGCTCCTAATCCTGCCTTTTAAGAATACCTTCAATCCTTAGGAGGACTATTAGAGATGTGGAGGGTTTGCAAGCAAGGTAGCATTTTAGAAGAAGGCAACAGTGGGGCTGGGAAGGTGGCTCAGTGGTAGAGTGCTTGCCTTGCATGCATGAGGCTGTGGGTTCGATTCCTCAGCACCACATAAGCAGAAAAAGCCAGAAGTGGAGCTGTGGCTCAAGCGGTAGAGCACTAGCCTTGAGCTGAAGAGCTGAGGGACAGTGCCCAGGCCCAGAGTTCAGGCCCCATGACTGGCAAAAAATAAAAATAAAAGAGGGCAATAGAGAGGTTAAGTATAATCAAACCATGTTGTATTTGAGTATACAAAAATATTTCAAAGTTTTCCCATTACTTTGCACAATATATGCTAATGAAAACAGGAAGTAGAGCCTGAGCATTGTGGCACACATCTGTAATCCCATTTCAGAGACAGAAGCAAGAGGTTCACTGGTTTGAGGCCAGCCTATACTATATAGTGAATTCAAAATTAATGAAACACTCAGTTCTTCAAAAACCAAGTGGTAAAATCCTCTGATCCCAACCTTCTGGGTAGCTAGGATTACAGGTGTAAGCCACTGGCACCCGGTTAAGCAGTGACTTTTTTAAAATTTGAGGACCATAATTTTTTATTAATGTATTTCTTTGTTTTATCAGTTATCAAAAAGATGCCAAATTTGGGGCTGGAAAGGTGGCTCAGTGGTAGAGTGTTTGCCTCACATGCGTGAGGTCCTGGGTTTGATTTCCTCAGAAAAAGCCAGAAGTGGTGCTGTGGCTCAAGTAGGACAGCACTAGCTTTGAGCTGAAGAGCTGAGGGACAGCGCCCAGGCCCAGAGTTCAGGCCCTATGACAGACAAAAAAAAAAAAGATGCCAAATTTAGAAAACTAGATTTTTATATTATTCAGCTTAAAGTTTCTTTGGAAGTTTTAATGACCTCCTTTGGATTTAGCCTGTTTTTCTTCACTCTGTTTGGCTTTGTATAGGTCTTCCTTTTCCTTTGGTAATTCCTTATAAAGGCAATTCATTTACTTTTGTAATCATGTTTTAGAAAAGGGCAAAAACTTGAATCTCCCTGCAAACTTTCAGAGTAATGATTTAGCAACAATAAAGTTAACATGTATTGGAGTTCAGTATGTATAGCTTGGAAATTGACAATTCTTATGTATATTTGATAGGTTATTTTAAATCAACTTGATTATTGTGAGTAGTTGTCTTCTTTTGACCTTGATTTCAGTATAAACTTTAAGTAAAAGTTTTTAGTAGCCTAGGAGCTGGGAAGGTGGCTCAATGGTAGAGTGCGTGCCTTACATGCATGAGATCCTGGGTTTGATTCCTCAGCACCACACAAGCAGAAAAAAGCCTGAAGTGGTGCTGTAGCTCAAGTGTAGAGCGCTAGCCTTGAGCTGAAGAGCTGAGAAACAGAGCCCAGGCCCAGAGTTCAGGCCCAAGAACCAACAACAACAACAATTAGCCTAAAATAGTGTAAAAGACTAAACACACAAACAAGTGGTAGGTTGTAACTCAGTGGAAGAATGCTTGCCTAGTATATGGAAGGCCCTAAGTTCAATTCCTATAATCCCATACTAACAGAGAAAGAAAGAGAGAGGTCAGGAGAGAAAGAGAATATTTTATCCCTAATTTTCTAGAGGACACTAGGCATAGGGTAGAAATCTGCTTTCCTATTTTTTTGTCTATGTAAATTGAAGTAGCATCATTCTGTTAATCTCTGCAAAAAAACTACAAATACTTAACCTTTAATACAGCTTGTTTTGTTTCTTTTTTCACAGCCTCGGTGTTTACTTGCCTGGCAATAGCATTGGGAGTTTATAGATTCTGGAAGGACTCCTAATGTTCCTACTGCTGCTGCTATTGACTTCTTAGAGCACTACATCAGGACAGATTGTCTTTTAACAATGTCAGTTGAGCAAACACTTTCTACAGTATTATTCAAAGTATGAATGGTCTGCTGAGAAGTATTTTAGATGTTTTGTCTTTATTTTACGTGCTGTTATGTCGAAAAGCTATCATCCAAAACCTGATTTATATAAGACAGAAAGGTATTTTGTCTACATAGTTGCCTGATAGTTACAGAAATTAAACCAGAGTGTTGTGTTTGAACAGCTTTGTAAATCAGAAAGGGTTTTGTTGTATTGATAATCTGGTGCAAATTGAAAATATTACCTCTAGTTGCATTTTCCTAACAACTATTGCACATTTATGTTTTTAAAAAAATAAAAACCTGTAACAAAGTTTTTTTAGATTCTTTTTTTTTGGGGGGGAGGGAGGGGTCCGGTCATGGGGCCTGAACTCTGGGCCTGGGCGTTGTCCTTCAGCTCAAGGCTAGCGCTCTACCACTTGAGCCACAGTGCCACTTCTGGCTTTTTTCTTTTTGCTTATGTGGTGCTGAGGAATCAAAGCGCTCTACCACTGAGACACCTTCCCAGCCCCTTTTTAGATTCTTGAAAGTAGATTTTCTTTCTTTTTTGTAATGAACATACAGGTTAAACTCCACAGTCAACTTCAAATTAATGTGTGCTCCACTGGAAGTGTTCAATACTTAGTATGAAATATAGAGTGGCTTGGATTAGTGTATGTATTTTTAATTGTTTTCTTATTAAAAACCAGTTTACATTAACTCAAGATATTGGCCACATGGTCCAGGAGTGACAAATAAGAGGACTCTCTTCAAACATTTCATGGCTGAAATGTTTCAAAACAAAAAAATGCTTTAACATTATCTGGGTACATTTGCATTCTGAATCATTTTTATCTCATAATTTTCTTGTTTAAGAGACTTCTTAGCACATTATAAACTGCTATTGGGCTACCCAATCAGAACCATATAGACTGAGTTCCACTATAACAAACAGCATTTGTTGGCTTAACCAGTATGACTTCTTGTGGTATGCCTAACAAAATGCAGATCACATGTGCACACGGGACCATGATTTCCTTCTCATGGAACTGACCAGCCCGGTGGAAAAAAGAGACATTAAATAAGTACATAAATCACTGGTTTATTACGATTTAAAGTATGCTCAAATATTAAGGGTATTATGTTTTTTCACATGAAAGAAACTCCATTTAAAGGAAGCTTTTCATTCTTCAACCCCTCCAGCCCCACATGAAGCAAAGTAATTTATCCAGTTGTAAATTTTAAAGGAGAAATGGGTCAAGTAGCCCCAATACTTGCTACTCTTGATTAGGATCAGCCTGTCTACAAGGAGCATTCCGTCTGTTCTGCTCTTTTGTGGCCAGCACTTCTGTTGTCTGAGGCCTACCTTAATACAATAATACTTGAGTCAGAGTAGTTACGCATGATTTTGGACCTCAGTGATAGGAGGCTTATTAGACTAAAGATAAAACTATACTCTCCAGCATCAGGTTTATCAGTAAATAGAGGTATTATTTAGGCCTCTATATAAAGTTAGTAAATTCTTCATATCAAGTCATATTTACGGTCCAGATGGAAAAGTTATGCCATTTATTAGACTTCCTCAAAACCCAGCAAGTAAGATATACATTCCCAGCTTGCATGCAGTCAGCCACTAAAGAGAAAAATAAGTCTGTCTTTATCTTTTTTTTTTTTTGGTCCGGTCGCGGGGCCTGAACTCTGGGCTTAGGCGCTGTCCCTCAGCTCTTCAGCTCAAGGCTAGCACTCTACCACTTGAGCCACAGCGCCACTTCCGGTTTTTTTCTTTTTGCTTATGTGGTGCTGAGGAATCAAACCCAGGGCCTCATGCATGCAAGGCAAGTGCTCCACCACTGAGCCACCTTCCCAGCCCTGTCTTTATCTTATTGTAGAGTTTAACAAGTAAAATGCAAGAATAAAGTAGTATGTACACTATACCCATTTTTATTACCTATAAGGTAGTTTGGGGGATCAGATCAATTTTTATTTAGGAGGTAGAAATATCTAAAATAAATGAAGAGACTGTGTTCCTCTGTGCCTCAAAACCATACCTTTTTTTTCTAGCATGAAATAACTGTTCTTGTATATGTTTTTTTCCTATCCTAAGCTGTGAGTTCTTTTTTTTGGGGGGGGGGTCCGGTCGTGGGGCCTGAACCCAGGGCTTCAGGCATGCAAGGCAAGCGCTCTACCACTGAGCCATCTTCCTAGCCCCTAAGCTGTGAGTTCTTAAAAGCTCTTTAGCTATTAAATTCCTGTGGAATAATAGGAATCTTATCCATGCGTAACTCAAGGATTTAGTCCAAACTTTTAAATATTTTAAACATTTGATTATGAATATGCTGAGAACATTTCATTATACTGAATTTCTCAAATCACTAATACCTTTTGGGCATTTTCTGTGAATGGTGAGATGCCCCCTAGAGGATTTGCTACCTCACTTTGCTTCACAGACATATGGGTATCGTGAATCCAAACCTGCCCATTTATACTATGGTGACAAGACAGACCAAGCTACATTATGCAAGGACCAGTCATCAGCCTAGGAAAACCTTTCTCTGTCATTAAGCTTACATTGCTCATTTTGTGAAACATTAAGAATCTAGAGGGGAAAGGAAGAAGGTAGGAAAAAAAGAATTTACATATGTAATGCTATATAATATATATATATATAATATATATTATATATATTTGTGTGTGTGTGCTAGTGTGTATGTGCTGGGGTTTGGAACTCAGGGCCAAGGCATTGTCCTTAAACTTTCGTGCTCAAGGCTAACACTTTACCACTTGAGCTACAGCTCTACTTCTGGCTTTGTGGTATTTAATTGGAGGTAAGAGTCACAGACTTTCCTGCCTGGGCTGGCTTTGAACCATGATCTTCAGATCTCAGTCTCTTGTGTAGCTAGGATTCCAAGCATGAGCCACTAGCACTTGGCTTAAAAATATTATTAATAAAAAGGAAAAATAGGTATGCCTATCCATAATTCCAGCACTCAAGAGACTGAGTCAAGAAGTCTGTGAGTTCAAGATGAGTTTGGGACACGGTCTTGAAAAAGAAAATGAAGCAATGGAAAAGGCTGTGGTCACTACCATCAATGTCATTTTGAGGAATAATAGCTATTATTGACTATGTAACAAATATACTACATAATGCATTGCAACTTACCTGTATTTCACAGTTGTTTCTTAGGCAGGTGGTATGATATCCTCATTCCACTCCTCAAAAATCAAGCTTAGTGAAGTCAAGTAACTTACTTGACAGTCACCATCAAATAAGTTACATAGGCCCAAATCTCTTAACTCTAAAGGTCACATCTTAGTCGATATACTTGTAGTCTCCAACCTTAGTCCTTTCTCTCAAGAAACAGGCAATCTAACAAGATGTGTGGTTCATACCTACAGTCTTCCTACTTGAGATGCAAACAGTGGAACAATTGCAATTCTACGCCAACCTAAAAAAACATGCCATCTCAACAAAATCCAAATACAGTAGCACTAAGTGGTAGAGCTCCAGTGCCATGCACACGAACACATAAACCCACAAACCTAATACAGTTCATCCTTGTATTGCTGGCTATTTGGGAGGAAGAAAAAGTTTGCAGGACCTCATCTCAACATATAAAAAGCTGGGCAAGTTGGCTTGCCCGTCATCTAATTGTGTGGGATGAAACAATGAGAGGATCATTGTTAAGGCCTGGGTAAAAACACAAGACCTTTTTAATCAAAGGACTACAGGTGAGTTCAAGTAGTAATACCTGCCTGGCATGCATGCAACACTTAATTCAAAGCCCTAGTACTCGAGCCGGGCGCCGGTGACTCACGCCTGTAATCCTAACTGCTCAGGAGGCTGAGATCTGAGAATCACAGTTCAAAACCAGTCCAGGCAGAAAAGTCTGTGAGACTCTTATCTCCAGTTAACCACTAGAAAACTGGCAGTGATGCTGTGGCTCAAGCAGTAGAGCGCTTGCCTTGAGCTGAAGAGCGCAGGGATAGCGCACAAGCCCAGAATTCAAGCCCCATGACTGACAAAAAAAAAACAACAAAAAAAAAAAACCCTAGTACTGCCAAAAAAAAAAAAAAAGGACAATCTACTGAGTCATATAAACACCTTTCATCTTTCCATCTCCTTTTCACTTTTTTCCTTAACCTAACATGACATTAATATATGTGATTTGTGAATAAATAATGTATGTGACTTGGCAATTATAATTTAATGTTAAACAAGACTGAATAATCATGAATTAAATAAGGTATTGGCTTACTCTTCAGACAATAAGCATTCTAAGGGCTGAGGCGGAACTCTTCTAATTTTACTGCTTTCCCATGCTTATTGTTACATTCATTCACAACAGAAGGGGCTAGAAGTGAAAAGCCCTTTTCCCTTTAGGTGGGATATGATGCTAATATTTAAAACAATATTTGGGCTCACATCCTATTGATCACAGCTTGGTTTCTTAGTTACAAGGGAAACTGGAAATTCGTAAGAATTAAGAAATAGTAAAAGATGACACAGATCTCACACACAGCTTAGTGCCCAATAAATGTTTTTACTAAACATTGAAAGCCTATTAGAAATCACAGTGACATTTTGTCAAAAGGATAGCTAATACTGGGTGTGATGGAGCATATCTGTAATCCTGCACCCAGGAGATAAGTAGAACTGCAAATTCAAGGCCAGCCTAGGCTACATAATGAACAAGTCTTCGTTTTGTTTTGGTTTAGCCTAACTCTTGCTAAGCAAATACTACCACTTGAATCTCACCTCCAGCCCTATTTTTGTATGGTTAATCTATAGGCAGGATCTTGCTTTTCCCCTGGGACCTACCTCAAACCATGATCCTCCTACCTATGGGCTCCTATGAGGCTGGGATGGTAGGATTTTTTAAAAAAATGTTGGTGGGAGTGTAAACTTGTTCAACCACTTTGGAAAGCAGTATGGAGGTTCCTCAAAAGCCTCCAACATAGAGCTCCCCTATGACCCAGCAATCCTACTTTTGGGCATTTACCCGAATGCTCACAAACAAGACCACACTAAAGTACCAGCACAACTATGTTTATTGCAGCATTATTTACCATAGCTAAGATATGAACCAACCCATATGCCCTTCAGTAGATGAATGGATCAAGAAAATGTGGTATATATACACAATGGAATTCTATGCCTTCATCAGAAAGAATGACATTGCCCCATTTGTAAGGAAATGGAAAGACTTGGAAAAAATTGTATTAAGTGAAGTAAGCCAGGCCCAAAGAAACATAGGTCCCATGGTTTCCCTTATGTGAAATAACTAATATATGTCTGAGTCAAGCAGAAAAGGTCAGATAAGCTGACGTTAGGGGAATGAACCCCAAGATAATTATTCAATTGTTTTTTTGTTTTTTTCCTTTCATGAAATTGTTTCTAACATATTTATAAGATGATTTCTATGTTGCTTTGTATGTCCCTCCCCCACGGCATAACCCATGTTTTAACTGTATTTGATGTTGGTATAATTTGTGGAGTGGAAGGGGAAAAACAAATCATTTAACTAGGGATACAGGTGGACCCATTGCAACAATGAGATATATAAGTCATTATGTCGAAAACGAACTTTACAGCTTTGGTGGGGGGGGAGGGGAATATGGGAAGGGATTGGAAGGGGAAACAAAGAGGAGGCAACAATGCTTGATAAGAAATGTACTCGTTATCTTGCCCATGTAATTGTAACTCCTCTGTATGATATTCTCACAATTAAAAAAAATTTTTTTAATGTTCTACTTTGTTGAGATAGGATCTCATTTTTTTTAAAAAAATAGGAAATAGACTCATTACCTCACTTATGTAACAGTTACCCTCTGTACAGTAGAGGGTAACAGTTACATAAGTAAGGTAATGAGTCTATTTCCTATCAAGCATTGTTACCTCCTCGTTTGTTTTTCCCCTACCATCCCTTCCCTCCCTAACTCCTCCCCCCCCCCAAGTTGAAAAGTTTGTTTCAACATAGTGTCTTGTACATCTCAATGATACAGTGGGTCAATCTGTATCCTCATTTCAGCATTTTGTTATTTCCCTTACCCTCCCCAAATTAGAAAAATGTATATACAAGATGCAGGGCACTGGAATCAAATACAGTGAAAACAGGGGTTGTACCGTGGCAGAAAAACATAAAAGAGAGACAAAAAAAATCACATAGTACATTTTAAATATGTTAAAAACAACAGCAAGAAAGAAAAAACTACTTGTGTCCCTGTCTTGGGGTTCACTCATCATCTTATCTGGTCATATGTACATAGCTTTTGACTTTTTCTGCTTATCCTAGACTTATACTAGTTATTGCAAATAAGGGAAACCATGGAACCTGTGTTTCTTTGGGCCTGGCTTACTTCACTTAATATAATTTTTTCTAAGTCTTTCTATTTCCTAACAAATGGGGTGAGTCATTCTTTCTGATGGAGGAATAGAATTCATATATATATATATATATATATATATATATATATATATATAAAATTTTCTTGATCCACTCATCAACTGAGGGGCATCTGAGTTGATTCCATATCTTGCCTATGGTAAATAATGCTGCAATGAACATGCTTGTACTTGCAAGCTGTTTTGTGGTCATTTGAATAAATGCCCAAAAGTGGAATTGCTGGGTCATAGGGGAGCTCTATGTGTAGTCTTTTGAGGAACCTCCACATTGTTTTCCAAAGTGGTTGAACAAGTTTACACTCCCACCCTCACTAACTTTTTGCAGAAGCTGGCTTCCAGTTGTGATGCTCCTGATCTCCACTTCCTTGAATAGCTGGGATTACAGACATGAGCCACCATGCATGGCCTAAGTTATTAATACTTGTTTATAGACCTTTAACCAGCCAGAAACTACTGCTCAGTTGTACTTTCAGGGCAAACAAGTCCTGATGACAAGAAATTAAAATGGCCTTTAATATCATGAAAGGTAAAAGTTAAGAGTCCAAAGTATAGGTAGTTTCTTGTATATAGGGAGTTTCTTGTATATAGGAGAGTGAAGCCATAAACATAGCAATCAAGATGGTGAGAGAAGCCAGGCACAGGTGGCTCATGCCTGTAATCCTAGCTACTCAGGAGACTGAGATCTGTGGATCACGGTTCAAAGCCAGCCCTGGCAGGAAAGTCTGTAAGACTCTTATCGCCAATGAACCACCAGAAAACCAGAAGTGGCACTGTGGTTCAAGCAGTAGAGCACGTCCCTTAAGCTGAAGAGCGCAAGGACAGCGCCCAAGCCCAGAGTTCAAGCCCCATGACCAACAAAAAAAGATGGTAAGAAGACAGGATTTAGGACAACTGCCCCACAGTAATCACAGATGTTTGCTGGCTCAGGAAGAAAGGGAAAGATGAAAGTGTAGGAACTAAATTTGAATTAAAATGCCAAAATAGTAAAGAACTATTAATCTGTAAATTCAGTGGGGAGAGAAAAGAAAACAAAAAAGCCATGTGTTTCTCTTTCTGTCCAATGGGCCTCTTATCTATATGCCTTTCTTTGAAAGCAAAATAGAACAAAGATTGGATTCTGAAGCAAATTTAAATTTAAATGGGCATTTAAATGGATACTGTTAGCAAGCACAAAGTAGGGTTTTTTACTAAGCAGATTTTCATTTTATATAAAACTCTTCTACTGTAAAGTTGTTCCTTCTAAAACTTATTGATCTTATAGTTTCTCCCAAATCTAGATGCCTTTTAAAATAAGTCATTTGAAAATAATAAAATTAGAGGAGGGTGTTTTAGTTTTTATTGTTGTCTTTCAGACAGAGTCTCACTATTTAGCCTAAGTTGGCTGCCAAATTCATGACCCTCCTACCTCAGCCTCTCAAGTGATGGGATATGTACTACTATGCCTGTCCAAAAGTACAGTTTTTGAAACCTTATATACAATAGTAATTGTAAAAGATACTCTCTAAAAAACAAAATAAATATTCTTTTATGCAGCATAATCAAATTTTAATAATTTTAATATCTAGAACTAGACTTCTAGATTTAATTATTAGACTAACACTATTTCATATTTCACAGTTTATATGAATACATGCAAAGTTAATTACTCACCTTTACTTGTCTCTATAGATGTATAAAAGTATATTGGGAGGCAGCATATAACTGAGTCTGTGTAACTTTAAAAATCTCTGATATCATAACATTTCTTCCTTCAGAATGGGAATGGTATCCTGTCCAAGTAATTCCAAGACTTTTATGAATTCCAAATTTATATAAATTTACATCCATTTTTGCAATGAAAGAGAAAAATCAAGAAAGTTTATTTAAAATTACTTCAATGATTAGTACCGTCTCACAAACACTCCCCCAGAAGACAATTTCTTTTTCACTCGCCTCTTCTCTTTGCTGGACTCACAGGACTCTTCTTCCTGTAAACAGAGGAAAAGAAGGTCAAATTAAGTTCTTCATGGTAGCACTCATTTTTTCATTTTTCTTTTCTTTTTTTTTTTTTTGGTCATGGGGCTTTGAACTCTGAGCCTGAGTGCAGTCCCTGAGCTCAGCTGAAGATGAGCGCACTAGCACTTTAGCCACAGTGCCATTTCCAGTTTTCTCATGGTTAATTGGAGATAAGAGTCTCAAGGACTTTCCAGGCTGGTTTTGAACCTCGATCCTCAGATCTCAGCCTCCTGAGTAGCTAGGATTACAGGCATGAGCCACTGGCGCCCAGCCTTCATTTTTCTTCATTGTCTGTTTAAAAGGAAAAATGAACTGTGCTAAGTACTTTCAGCTCTGATTAAATCTCTTAGAAATCTGTGTAAATAAATTCACAAATCTGCCAAATCTTAAAATAGGAAGGTACCTTGAGAAATCAGTCAATCCTGACTACCTAACATACCCCCAAAGATCACACCCTTAGGGCTGGGAAGGTGGCTCAGTGGTTGAGTGCTTGCCTTGCATGCCAGAGGCCCTGGGTTCGATTCCTCAGCACCACATAAGCAAAAAGAAAAAAGCTGGAAGTGGCGCTGTGGCTCAAGTGGTAGAGTGCTAGCCTTGAGCTGAAGAGCTGAGGGACAGCGCCCAGGCCCAGAGTTCAGGCCCCACGACTGGACCCAAAAAAAAAACAAACAAACAAAACCAAAGATCACACCCTTGTATGTCTTCTACTTAGACTAACATTTCATGCCATACTGTTAGCTGAAATGTACAAATGAGGAAGAAAAGAAATCCCATCTTCTTTTCAAACCCCGCAGGACTGGGATTTACAGCTCTGGCCCTCTATTCCTTCTTTTATGGTTTTGCAACATCCCTTTACTTCTTTTGTCTTATCTTATTTTCCCATGCCCTGATGTTCACCAACATTTCTCATTTTCTTGATATTCTCATGACCTAGCACAAAAGAATAAATGTTGTGGGAAGAATCAAGGGAAGGGCTGGAAACACAATGGATGTTCACTATGTTGTAGTCAAAAATTCTCTGTACTGGGGCTGGGAAGTGGCTCAGTGGTAGAGCGCTTGCCTTGCATGCCTGAGGCCCTGGGTTCGATTCCTCAGCACCACATAAGCAAAAAGAAAAAAGCTGGAAGTGGCGCTGTGGCTCAAGTGGTAGAGTGCTAGCCTTGAGCTGAAGAGCTGAGGGACAGCACCCAGGCCCAGAGTTCAGACCCCACGACCGGACCCAAAAAAAAAAAAATTCTCTGTACTTATTAAGGCATGATAGATGTGAACACAGGCTCTAAGGATAGGACAAAGCACCTCTGGGAGGCACAAACATGGCAAGAGTTCTTCCGTGAAAGTGCCCCTGTTCATCCCTTTGCTGATGAGCTTACTTAGCTTAATTCACATATAAGAGCATGTGAAAATGAAATAATGTGCCATTATCAAAACCACCTGGAGAAAAAAGAGCCATGCCTCTGTTCCTTCTTTTTCCCTTAGCTGCAACCTTGCTATCATCCAAGTTTTTAAAGACAAATTTGTCACATTTTTCTTTTTGTTTGCTTGTTTGTTTTTGGGTCTGGTCGTGGGGCCTGAACTCTGGGCCTGGGCACTGTCCCTCAGCTCTTCAGCTCAAGGCTAGCACTCTACCACTTTAAGCCACAGCGTCACTTCCGGCTTTTTTCTTTTTGCTTATGTGGTGCTGAGGAATGGAACCCAGGGCCTCGAGCATGCAAGGCAAGCGCTCTACCACTAAGCCACCTTCCCAGCCCAGTCATATTTTTCTTATCCACACAGTAAGATAGAGAAGGGGAAAGGTTTCTAATGGTAGTAACAAGTGATAAAAAAAGTACAGACTTTGTGCTAAGCAGTTAGGTTGAGATCATGGCTATGTATCTAACAAGCTGTGTAACTACAAATTATGTGACTGACACTAATTTCATAATATGAGGGTAGCATCTCTTGAATATAAAGTCTCATACAACAGCATGTAAGTACTTGATACCTATTGTTAATGATGACCAAGGTATTATGAAAGTAATCAGTAATCTCTTGAAATTTAAAATTTCAGTACCAAGGGTACACATAATGAGATACTCTGGAAGCAGAACTAAATACCTGGTAGGAGAGAACATATATGATCAGGGGTATTCAGTAATGGATGTCAAATGCTCCCCAGGCAATTTCAAGAAACCACATTGATGAGGAGACTTCAGGTATAAGGACAAAATGAACAATGGCTTGGCAGTAGGAAAGTGGAGTTTAAGTTCATAAAAGAATAAACACAAGAGGAAGTGTACTCATTACCTCACTCATGTAACTGTAACCCTCTGTATAGTATCTTTACAATAAAAAATAATAATAAAAAAGAATAAACAAAAACAAGATTGGCATAGTAGATTAGAACTGCCAAACTGAGGAATCAGTACTTTATACAGACAAGGAAGATTTTTCAACCCAAAACAAGATAACCAAGTTCACTACAGTGAGTAAAATAGCTGGAAGCAGATATAGACACCTATAGGGAAGCAACAAATGTGCAGTACCTGCTCCTGTCCATGAGCATGTATGAGTGGTCCATCTATGAGATGGCCTACTTTTCTGGGCTAAAGGAGAAAACAAAACTACCCAAGACTTTATGAATGCAAAACTGGGTAAATAGGAAAACAGTAATACTGCTAATTTAAATATAGAGCAGTGTTGGAGAATGGGGGATCTGCTCTTGGTGTTGAGTTTAGTTCTAAACATTTTTCAGTTACATGACCCCAGGGATTTTTAGGTAGCAGTGTCCAGCTGGCAATGAAAAATACAAGTAGGGGCTGAGTACCAGTGGCTCACACTTGGAATCCTAGCACTCAGGCTGTGATCTGAGCTTTGTAGTTCAAAGCCAACCTAGCAAGGAAAGTCTGTGATGCGCTCAGCTCCAATTAACCACCAAAAATCTGGAATTGTAGCTGTGTCACAAGTAGTAGAGCACTATCTATAAGCACAAAAAGCTAAGGAACAATCTCCAAGCCCTGAGCTCAAGCACCAGGACAGATACAAAAAATAAAAAACTACAGGTAGAGTGCCTTGGTAAGGATACATGACTAAAGTCTAAATCTGATAGTCTCTTACACAAAAATAAATGGAAGCAAAGATTCTGAGTTTGTTCCTGCTTCACACTAGATCTTAAATAGATACTCATTTTAGCCAGGTATGGTGTCATATACCTGTAATCCCAGGCTAAGGCCAAACCAGAAAATTAGAAAGACCTTATCTCAAAAAAAAAAAAACTATGTCAACTTTTGATAGTCTTAAATGCTTTTGATAGTCTTAAAACTACTGAAGTTTTCCAAAATGGATTCCATTCAAAGCACTTGATTTTTGTTATTTAGAATATTAAAATATACATACTCTCTGGTGTCTCAGACTTATAATTGGTTCCTTTGCCTATGAGGAATATCTTTTCATTATATGGTATATAAACTAGGCTGGTGTGAGGGGTTTTTTGGGGGGCATGGGTGTAGATGTATACAGATTACAAATAGAGATATTGGGATGTTTCTTTAATTCAGACATCAGCTCTACAAAGTATATATTATCTGCCGTTAACTACTGAGGTACAAAGATATTAAATGACTTAGCCAAATTAAAAATGGTTTAGTGCAGGGACAGTGCCCAAGCCCAGAGTTCAAGCACCATGACCGACAAAAAAAAAAAAATGGTTTTTAGTCAAGAATTAAACTCAATTAGCCCAACCCATACCCGTAGCCAGTTTTATAGTTTTGTTTTTTTTGGTGCCAGTCTTGAGGCTTTAACTCAGGCGCTGAGTAATGTCACTGAGCTTTTTTGAGCTTTTTTGCTAAAGGCCAACACTTGAGCACTTGAGCCACAGCTCCACTTTTGAGTTTGGGGTGGTTAATTGGAGATAAGAGTCTCATGAACTTTCTTGCTCAGGTTGGCTTTGAATCACAGTCCTCAGATCTCAGCCTCCTGAACAGCAAGGATTACAGGCATGAGCCCAGCACTTGACCTTCTTGTATACTTTTTAATCAAGAAATGTAAATGTGTTAAGATCACCAACCACAGGCACGAAGCTGGGGACCTGAGTTTTCTCCAGGTTTTCCTTGAGTTGATCCACCTCTGCTCGATATTCATCCAGTTGACATTCTAACTTTTCTCTACGGAGTCGTTCATACTCCAGCTGCCCCTGCAGCTCTTTGATAGTCCTATCAAAAAGAAAATGTCTTTAATCAACTTCTATTCTCAACTAGCAAAGGCAAATAAATCACTTATTGAACAACTAATGTATTCGGGATCCATGAGCAGCAAACATTCTAAGTACTAGAAATAAGTACTCCTTCACTTAATAATGAAAAAAAAAATAAAGACAGGAAGTAATAAAACAGATATGACAGAAACCAACAAGGCCTAAGAGGAAAACAAATAAATTAGCGTAGAAATGCTAATTTACAATGCTGTGGAGGGGGTAATTAGCACTTCACATACAATGGGTAGGGAAGACCTTACTGACCAGGGCTCTTTGGGCAAAGTCCTGAAGGAAAACAGAGAGAATCATTTAAACATTAGAGGAAGGGTATCCAGACAGGGAACAAGTGCCTTTGCACTTGTTGAAATGCCTGAAGAAATGAAAGAAAACAAGAGGACAGTATAGCTGGAGTAGTTTAAAGAACAAAAGAGAGAATAGAACAGATGGGAGGTTAAAGCCTTGGCTTTTACTGTTAGTGAAATGGAAAGCCATTCATGATTAAGCAAAGAAATAGCTCAAAATATCAAAGGACTCTCATCTAGGTTTGTTTTTTTGTGGAGGGGGAGGCGGGATGTTGGAATTGGGGTTAGAACTCAGGACATTACGCTTCGTAAGCAGGCACTCTACCATCTGAGCTATAACCCAACCCTTTTTGCTTTTTTTTATTTTTCAAATAGGGCTTCTTATGCCTTGAGTGGGCCTCAGACCATCATCTCCCCACCTATACTTCCTATGTAGCTGGGATCAAAGGCACATACCACTGTAACATGATTATTATTGAGATATGGGAGTCTTGCTAACTTTTGTCTGGGCTGGCCTCTAATCACCCAAGTAGCCAGGGTTACAGATATGAGCTATCATGCCAGCCCTCTCTTTTATTTTAATGTGATTTCTCCAGATGAGAACAAGATATAAGGCCAGGATTGGGGTACAGGGACAGAAATCTGGTAGAACTATAAAGAGGAGTTAGAATAATCCAGAAAAGAGATGTTGTAACTTGAATCAGATTTTGTTTTTCATTTTGTTTTGTTTTCTATCTCTGGTAGATAACGAGAGAGAACAGAATGCCAAGTCATACTGGACTAGATATCAGGTCCCAAGGAAGGAAACCTCAGGAGTTCTGTTATATTAGGAGTTCTGTTACAAATATGAGTGGGGTTAAAATTATAATATCCAAGAATAATGTCAACCTTGATGGCATAAAAGAACAACAAGCAAGAAGAGGCAATTATCCCTAGGATAGAATAATCCAGCTACATTTTGTACGTTGTCAGTTTGATATACCTAGTAGAAACAGAAAAAAATAATCAAAAGAACATACCTCAAATCAGTATTTATTTACTTCTTTTACAACTATATCTAACTATAACTATATTATATCTAGCTATATACTCTATACAATAATACCTATGTATCAAACTATGTCTATATCTGTATCCCAAGAACAAATGTCTTAAAACACAACATAAAATGGAGCACAAATGTCAGAAAAGAATTCATTGTCAGTAGAATTCAAAGCAACAGTGCATACTATTAATAGGAAACTACATTCTGAAACAAGAGCTAAAGCAATCCTTTCCCAAAAAATTCTCTCCAAAAATCACATTCCAATATGATAACTATTTCACATTAATAAGCTATGTTATGACCATTAGAGTAAAAGTCCCCTGAGGGCTTTTAAAATTGTAGTGAGCTTAAACAGAGTTGAAGTCACAGAATAAGAATAAAATACTGGGCTGGGAAGGTGGCTCAGTGGTAGAGCACTTGCCTTGCATTCATGAGGCCCTGGGTTCAATTCCTCAGCACCCCATAAGCAAAAAGAAAAAAGCCGGAAGTGGTGCTGTGGCTCAAGTGGTAGAGCGCTAGCCTTGAGCTGAAGAGCTGAGGGACAGCACCCAGGCCCAGAGTTCAGGTCCCACGACTGGACCAAAAAAAAAAAAAGAATAAAATACTAACTCCACTACCAGATCCTTACTTCGTGACTCTATATTAGTTCTCAGTTTCCTAATCCATATAGTGAGACAACAGCTCATGGAGATAAGATATGCTGCTTATTTAGCATCTGACATGTAGTAGCGCGTAGATGTAATACAAGCACCAGTAATGATAGTACAGTAGACTGCTTTAGAAAGTAAGAAGATGAAATCAAAGTTTAAAGCTGATTACTAGGAAATAATTGCTGAACTGTGGTATATTTTTCTATGCTACAAAGAATCTAAGAACTTTGAGCTAAGCTCTTAGATCAAGGCCAATACCAAAAATATTCTACATCTCTCAAAACACAGCAGTTTTAGGGCCAATGATCCGCAACTTATATGATGTGATTCATGAGAAACCAAGAAACACACACACACCTTTACCATAGCTTCCTATTGTCTAAAATCCCACTAAGAGGTAACAGAATGGCTCACATTAACAAGGTAGTCTTTATTGAAGATTTAGATGTTATGGTGAATATCTTTACCAGTCCTCTTCCTGAAGCAACTTTCAAAAGCAGAGGAAGAAAGAGAAATAGGAGGCTCTACAGGTTGAAAAACACAAAACCAAAAGATAAGTCAGAGAACACAAAGGAGGAACAAGGAAATCCATCTGCAGCTCACAGTTCTCTTTTACATACCATGCTGTTTCCTGTTCACACTAGAGAACAAACAAGTAGAAACAGCAGAAGGAAAGAAACATGAGACACCCTCTATTCTAGTAACCATTAATAAACCACAGAGGTACCCAATGTTCATGGATCCAATATAAGATGCAGGAAGCGAGCTATACAACTGCTGACTGCCTCCAGAACCAAGAGCATTCTTGGATGGGGACTATATCAGTGAAACAAAGTGGGTTTCATAGCAGTAAGAGTGGGCCATCCCATCTGATGGAGATATTTACAGACGGTGTAACTGTACAGATTGAACAGCTTAAACCATCTGGGGTCTTGTTATGTGCTAGTAGTTTATGACTGTAATCCTCACTATTTAGGAGGCTGAGACCTGGAAGATAACAGTTCAAAGCCAGCCCAGGTAGAGAAATCCAATGTACTTATTATCTTGCCCATCTAATTGTAACCCCTCTGTACAGTATTTTCACAATAAAAATTAAAAAAAGAAAGAAATGTGTAAGACTCCATCTCTGATTAACCAGCAAAATGCTGGGCTATAGGGAAAGGTCAAGTGGTAGAGGTAGTATATCAGCCATGAGCAAGAAAGCCAAACGTATACATGAGACCCTGAGTTCAAGCCCCAATACTGGTACATGCACACATACGTGCTCATGTGTGCACACACATGCATGCACGTGCACACACACACACACACACACACACACACACACACACACACACACAGGCCATGGTCTTAAAGAATGCCAGTTTGGGAGATTTTTGTACAGCAATGTGAGTACATGTAATACTACTGGGATGTACACTAAAAAATGGTATTTTACATTTGGGGGCATTTTTATCATAATTTTAAAAATCTTAACTCCATCTTGAGGATTTAAATGGAAAACCAGGATAGAACTTTTGTTGGCATAAAAGAACAAGTTTCTGATCTACATGGTTTTTTGATAGGAACAAAAATATAAACCATGAGTTTTAAGGATATTACTTTTCAGACTCAAGCTGTTCTTTCTTCTGCTTGAGATCCTCTTCTGTTATTCCACCCAAATGTCTATAGTTGCTCTCAGCAATTTCCAGGAGGTGTCTCAACTCTACGAGTTTCTTATAAGCTCTCACTATAAGACAGAATTGAATAAAAACACAATTTAGAGAACAGCTCTTGTTACCCACAGCATGTTGGTCTTCTCACTTTCTTGTAGAGCCACCATATGGTTTGAGTTGGGGTTTAAAGGAGGGGAGCCCACACACTGACAGACGCTGAAGAGTAAATAGCAGTGACAGAGTTTCAGTTGTGTAAGCAATGAAATGCCAAGATGGAGGATTCTTCCTCTGCAAAAGCAGGCTCTGGAGTAGATTATGACAGTTGTTAACTTAGTAGACAAAAGGTTCACAAAAACTGACAAGGCCTACAAGAATATTACAGAACTATAGACAACCTACTTTATGTTAGAAATTTAGAAAAAACTAATGTTGGCATCTCCCAATTCCAATTCTCCCTGGAGAATGAGTTTCTACCTGACAAGAGTTCTAAGAATTCCTTAATACTTTCTGGGAGAAAAAATAAGCAAGAAACCTAGACATAAATTCAATTGTTTTCTTAGAAAATGAAATTCTAGTATAACTAAGTCTTCCTGCCAGAAAAGACAACTGAAGTTTCTGACTCTCTACCAGATACTAGGCACTACCCTTTCTTTAATCATTGTAACAGTTCCATCAGGGCAATATGATATTAATATGCTCATTTTCGTAGATCAACTACCTGAGGTTGAGAGTAACATAGTAGGAAGTGGCGAAGCTCTCATGTCTGAATCCATAGCCCATATTCCCCTCACTTACACTGCCTGTCTCTCAGTTCCCAGATTCTTTTTATGTTTCTTCTATGAAGAGAGCCACAGAAATAGATCTTCTCATCCATTAGTACAAACCATTATAGCTCTCTGAACAAATATCATGGGAAGTGAAACTAAAGTTATGTAGCATTTTAAAACACTCCATGTGTGGTACACAGGCACTATAGAAGGAAATCTAAAAGCCTTGCCTCTAAGTCACTGTATGACTTTAAACAAGTAGCAGCTTCTCTGAATCTCAGGCTCTTTATTTATCAAATAATGATTTACAGTAAATGAGTATTTCTTGAGATATAAGCCAAAGATGATAAAAGGATTCTCTAAATTGCAAATAATACAGAAGTGTCAACCATTACTGTTAGGATCTTGAAGAATAAATTCAGAGGGTTTTGGTAGTGGAACTTCTCTGTATTATATTCAAGATTGTGTGTTTGTTAAAATTCATAAATATACAATATACATATATACAATATACATAGAAAAAAGAATTCACTAGAAGGAAAGCATTTTATCAGCATCTGAACCATCAGCAGAAAAGCTAGAGAAATTAATATTTGCTATAATTCCTAGACTTTTATTTAATTCATATATTTCAATAATGAACATAACATTGTCCTGCTGACTTCTGGATTCCCATTTCTGTCAGTCTGATAACATGACCCCTTGAGAAAAAAATGTACCCCACCTTTACCTACTAGCTAATTTAGAATAAATGATAATCTATTTGTTATAGGCTGAATGTCTTTCTCCCAAAATTCATATGCTGAAGCCCAAACCACCAATGTAACATTATGTGGTGATAAGATCATTAAAAGTTGATTAACATTAGATGACAAGAGGCTAGGGTCCTAGTCCCCATGGGATTAGTGCCATATTTAAAGAAAAGACACTGGAAAGCATCTCTTTCCCTCAATACCCTTCCACCCCCACACCCACACCCGTCATCTTTCTCTCCTTCCCTTCCTTCCTATCACTACTTCCTCTAACTCCCCTCTCCCCATCTATGGCCATATCAAAGGGAGAAAGAGAGCTTTCACCTGAAAACAATCCTGCTGGATTCTGACCTGAGACTTCACAAACTGTAAGCAAATAAATATCTATTCTTTAGGCATCAAAGACAAAGACACACTTAAGTAGACACACAAAGACAGAGTTAAGTATATTGAAGTTATCCTAACTATGATAATCATGAAAATAGAAACTTTGGCATATATGTTTCCATATATGGAGACATAATATGGTTAATATGAAAGAAAAACTGTGAAAACGAAAACTTCCATTCTCTCCCTATGAAGGGAAATGGACTTTCCACACCACTGGAAATAACGGATGCACAGTCAAGGCTAATGGGATCCTGGCTTGGATTTCCTCCAACTTCCAGATAAAACATGATCTTACTGATCTGGATCAGCTAAAGAACCAGAAAATATATAAAAATTTTACCTTAAAGAAGAAATGCATAGCAGGGTGCAGGTGGCTGTAATCCTAGCTACTCAACACGCTAAGATCTGAGGATCACAGTTCAAAGCCAGTGGTGCAGGAAAATCCATGAGATTTTTATCTCCAATTAACCACCAGAAAACTACAAGTGGCACTGTGGCTCAAGTGGTAGAGTGCTCGCCTTCAGCTGAAGAGCTAAGGGACAAAGCCCAGGCCCAGAGTTGAAACCCCACGACCGAACCAAACAAAAGGGGGAAAAAAAAGAAATGCATAGAATGTACATATAAGCACTCCTAAAATGGCAATGCAAGTTTCCACTACAAAAAAGTTAAAGCAAAACAAGAATGGAGGCTTACCAGTATTTCACAGTTAGTCATATGTCTATGTCAGAGATTCTAGGAGCTCAGGAAACTCGTGCAGACAATTATGCATCTGCTCTTGTAGAACTCAAGTATGCTTGGAAATTTTATTATACCAGGAATTTCATCCATACTCGTGATTGAGTATGTTCTCAACTAATTGATAACTAATCAGAAATGTCTTGTTCTTCCCCGCCCTCAGGGCTACTATTTACCTAGAAGCTACAGAGATTTAATTTTTAAACATCAAGCAAATCATATCATTCTCTACTACCTATGGATTTCTATTTAAAAATAAAGCCTCATCCTGCATATAATCCTAGATACTCAGGAGGCTGAGATCTGAGGATTATGGTTGTAGTCAGCACTGGCAGGGAAGTCTGTGAGATTCTTAACTCCAATTAAATCACACAGAAAGCTGTAAATGGTGCTGTGGCTCAAGTGGTAGACAGTGCTACCCTTGAGCAAAAGGAGCTCAAAGACAGCACCTAGGCCCAGAGTTCAAGCCTCAGGACTGGCAAAATAAATAAATAAAACCTTGATCTAAAAATCTTTATTGGCCTCCTATAATCTTACAGGGCCCCTGCTTTCCTCTGTAACCTTATCTATTACTACTCCCTTAGTCATTCTTCTGCAGACACAATGACCATGCTCAACTCCACTCATAGCTTTTACATAAATTGCACTCTCTACTTGGAATGGTCTCTCAAGACCTTTATACGGTTTACTCTCATCATTCAGGTCTGTTCACAAATGTCACCTCAGAGAGGCCTAACAGTTACCTATTAATGCTACATTATTTTTCTTTTTTTGTCACATCTTCACCAACAGTTTTTTTCTTGTAACAGTAGCTATTCTTTAAAAAAAATTGGGTGGTTGTACAGGGGATTACAATTTAGTATGTCCTTTTATGTGTCCACTTAATCAGGCACCCCTTCCATCATTCTCTCCCATCCCCTTCCACCCTCTCCCCCTGGATTCATGTTACCTTTTCCACTTCTGTTATCACATATGTACCAAGATTGTGTTTGTCCCCATTTCCTTGTCCATTCATCCCCCTCTCGATAGCTTCCCCCATTCAAACTTTGTTTCAGTTTTCTGATATTGTTTGTTAAAGAGTTAATTGTTCAAAGGAATTACTCCATGGATTTTTCAATCTTGAATATATTATACTTAAGTCAACCTGATCATGTTTATATGTCTATGTCCCTGTATATGTCTACATAGGAGGACTTCTTTTCTTCTTTCTCCCCCTCCCCTTACACCTCTCCCTTCCTTCCCCTCCCCCCTCTCCTCCTCCTCCTACTGGGTGCTGTCCCTCAGCTGTCCACTAGCTCAAGGCTAGTGCTCTACCACTTGAGCCACAGCACCACTTCTGGTTTTCTGGTTGTTTATTGGAGATAAGAATCTCATGGACTTTCCTGCCCAGGCTGGTTTTGAATCCGGATCCTCAGATCTCAGCCTCCTGAGTAACTAGGATTACAGGCATGAGTCACAAGCACCCAGCTCGACTTCATCTTCTTAACACATATATCTTATCAATTATTTATCACCCTCCCATCACCACCAGAATGTAAGTTTGTTCCTATGTGCTGCTCAGTTTCTCCTAACTACACATGTCTGGAAAACACTACACAATAATTATTTGTTGCTATTATTAGCTGTAAAAAATTGTTTATAGCCTGGTACCAGGGTCTCATACCTATAATCCTAGCTACTCACGCCCAAAATTGGGAGGATCACATTTGGAGGAATAATCTTGATCTTGTATTTGGAAAAGAAAGGAAGGCAAAAGCACTGGGACATGGCTCATGAGGTAAAGCACTTGTCTAGTAACTCCTAGTACACCAAAAACAAAAATACCAACCAAGTTGGTTTAGTTTGATTTTAATGGGACAGGGTCTCTCTCTATGGAGTACAAGTCAGCCTCAAACTTGCCATCCTCCTGCTACAGTCTCCTAAGCTGTGCTTACAGGTATATACCATCATGCCCATCTCTTGAGTTCTTTTTCCCTATTTCCTATGATGCATTAAAAAAAAAAAAAAAAGATCGGGTCTGGGAAGGTGGCTCAGTGGTAGAGCACTTGCCTTGCATGCCTGAGGCCCCGGGTTCGATTCCTCAGCACCACATAAGCAAAATGAAAAAAGCTGGAAGTGGCGCTGTGGCTCAAGTAGTAGAGCGCTAGCCTTGAGCTGAAGAGCTGAGGGACAGCGCCCAGGCCCAGAGTTCAGGCCCCACGACCGGACCCA